GGGGGGGGATGGAGCACTACAAAGCGGCTCCGCGGGGAGCATGTCCCTCCGCGCTTTCCTCAGCAGTGGCACTTTCTTCCCAATTTTTGGCTCATTCCTCTCCCAAGCCCTCTCCACAGGCCCTGATTCCAGGGGGTGGGGGGCAAAGGTGGGCACAGGCTCGGAGCTGCCCCTGCGGGGCGCCGTGAAACGGAAACAAATAAATAATTAAATAAGCAAATAAACAAACGAACAAATAAATAAATAAATGCATGAGATCGTTAATAATGACGCCAGCGGTGACGTCAGCGCCGCGTGCATCACGACACAGCGCGCGCCGCGGGGGGCAGCAACAAGTGCGGGCGGCGCCGCGGGCAGGGCGCCCCCTAGCGGGGGCCGCTGCTGCGGTGCGGGCGGCGGGGCAGGACAGACGGACAGCGGTGCCGGACAGTGGGGCACGGTCCGTGCTCAAATCCCGCTGGGACCGAGGGGCCCTCCCCGCTGCAAGCCATGATGTTCGGTGGCGGGAACCCCTACGCGAGGTGCAAGGCTTGCTTGGCCCCGGGTAGCGGGAACGGAGAAGGCGCGGGAATTTGGGCAGGGTTCGCACCGGTGCCATGAAGATGAGGAATTCATCTTGACAGCCTCAGCACCCAAGCCTGGCTAGGATGCTTGGTGCTTCTGCAGGGGCAGGCTGATTTTCTGCTGGTTCCTCTGGAGGAATTACCAAATCCTTACAGTTTGTAAGAAGTTTCACCTTTCCCGCCCTGTATCCTTTTGAGATGCCCCGAGTGTCTGTCCGGGCTGTGGCCTCACGGCTCGTACAGCGGTGAGAACGCTGTGAGCACCGGGGGCAGGCTGGGATGCTGTTGAAGACAGCAGAAAGCCAGTGGGTACCACTGCTTGGGCTTCCACCCAGCACCAGCACGGCTTGGATGGGCAAACCCAGGAGAACAGCTCAGGAGAGCTGCACATAGCAGCCCTTTTGGCCAATAAAGTCACTTTGTGCTTGGGAGCTCAGTCCCCTGGAGGATGTTTGTGAGGGGCTGGACAGGTATGAGAGGTGATGCAAGTGAGACCCACACCTCGACACATCCTTGCAAAACAGGGAGTGCTGCTCCATTTCACCCCCAGTGAATTCCTGGCCAGAATTACACACATTTCTTCTGCAATTCACCTTTGTTTTCACTGACCTTGGCATGTTTAATCAGGGTTATATTCTCACACAGATAAAAGAGTCCTCAAACAATTGCTACAATATTTTGGGCACAAACAGGTTTGTATTTTTTCTTCGTTTTCTTTATCTCAGGCTGGTAGGGCTGCTCCTTTCCCACCATATATAATCAAGCAGCAAAGAGAACTTCCCATCTCCATTTGTGCCCAAATCCCTCTGCTTCTACCCCAGCAGCTGGGGCCCAGGCACTGTTGGCAGCCTCTGTGCCAGCCCTGAGCTCCTCCCCACTGCATGAACCATTACTCACAGCTCTGATAGTTGCCGGGTCCCATCCTTCCCACCAGCCACAGACTTCCTCCAAGCATCCCTCCAAGCCATGGTGTTATATCCTCTATGAAAAAGGCAGTGAGGCTGAACAGCCAGGTAAGAGCATGCTTTGGTCCTCTGAGCAGAGGGATGATTATCCATCCCTGCAGGATGCTGGGAGGCAGGGGTTATGCAGGATGGCCCAAGTCACTGCTCCATGTACTGAGTTCCTGCAGGACCCTATCTAACCTTCATCTGTAGAGGAGCTCATTGTCCATGGGGCAGGAGAAGGAGGGTTCACATAAACAAAAGGAGGGTTCACCCTCCATCCCCATGGCTCCAGCCCCCAGCCCTTGGTGTTACTTCATTCAGGGCTGCTGGCTCATAGGACCCTCAGCATCCTGTTTAAATTGCTAATGTTGGTAGCATTTGGAATGGGATAGGAACAGAGGCTGTGGCAGTGCAGAAGTGTACATATTCCCAGCAATGAGGGCATGCATACTCATCACTGCTCTGACATCAGTTTTATAGGAGCCTTCCCCCTCCCCCCCAGAAAACTCTTTATACTTCAAAATAATAAATACAAAAAATACAGAGCCTGTTTATAGCAGAAATTGAAATTCCACATATTATCAAAAGTTGGATTTTGTCCTGCAGGCACTGAATAAGTTTCTTCATATGAATATTTTGTAACTTTCTCTGGCCAAAGGAAATGTGCAAAATGTTGTAATTTTTCTGTGCCTTCTCTTGGACATTCCAAGTTTTTGCTTAAGCTTCTCATAAAAGGCTATTTTCAGTGAAGAGGGGACAAAAAAAAAAAGCAGTCTACAGTATATTGAGTCAATAAAGTAATGTAAAACCATAAAACACAGCAACGATAATAACAGAAGATCAGTAGATAACAAAGGAAATAAGATGGGGATCAAACAGAGTGGTAGCTGGAAATGACTGCATAGAAGCCAAAATAAGGCTGCTCCTAATAAACAGCCAAAGTTGAACCAAAAAGCATTTGAAGCGTTAATTTATTAAATAACCTTATTTTCATGCCTTACAATTAAAAATAGTTGTGGTCAGGCATGTTGGGAGACAGGAAGCAATTGGAGTCTTGAAGCCCGGCTTTGTGCTTGGAAGGGAACACAGCCTGATCCAGGCTGGGATGGGCTGTGCCTGCACGGGGGGGCAGCCAGCAGTGCTGGGGGCTCCAGGCCACTTACTGATTCTCTGCTCACAGCTTTTCCTTCCCAGGCCTTTAAGACGCGGGGGAGTTTTATGAGGAGTGTTCAGGGTGTGAGATGGAGTCACAGCGGGAGCAGGGACTGTGAGGGTGATGCCAGCCCCTGCTCCCACTCAGCGCACGGGATGGGATGCAAAGCCCTGTGAAATTGCCATGAGGCCCCATGTTCAGTTCAGCAGGTTTTGGGATCAGTCTCTCACTTTGGAGCCCTTTAGATCAGATGTATGAATCACTAGCTCAAAGCATTAATAATGCCAGGAGTCAGAGCATTTATCTTCCCTTCAAAAGATCCACCAGCTCCAATAAGTGACCAAACCGAGCAGAAATCCTACGTGAGATCAGCTTACAAACCCCAGTCTTCAATTCATATCTGCATTTGGAATTATTTTTATTTACCTTGCATTTCTTTTTGTTGCCCTGGCATTGTGTGTTTTTAATTCCCCCACAGCACTGCTAGCAGCTGCCTGGAACAAGCACCCCACTGCCCCAGGGCTCCCAGACCAGGCTGCTTAAAGAAAATAATCATCACTGAGTATCAAGATATTCAACAATAAAATAGTGACTGGTGGCACATGCAGAAAGGAGAAGGGTGCCCAGATGGCTGCAGAGTATTCTGAGACCCATAACAAGGGGTGCAGCCATGGGACAGGAAGAACCAGCAGCTGACTAGCCCCCAAAATAGTTGCCTTACTCTCACAGTAACTGAGCTCCAGCGGCTGCTAACTGCTGCCTGCAAAGCTGGTTTCATCTAGTGGCACAGAATGATGGGTCAGCTAAAACAGAGCCCACACCATTTCTGCCTGATTGGTTGCTAACCAAATACACTTTTCAGATGCTGTTAATTGAGTCTGATGAATTTTGCTCCAGTGGGACCTATTACGGGCAAAAATACAAGTGACATCAGAGCCATAACTCATAAAAATCAAGTCCCTGAATTACATCTGAGAGCAATATGAAAATGCAAGTGGGATTTCAAATGGTATCAAATAACTTTCTGTCATACCTTATTAATACCACAGAGCTAATAGAAACAGCTATATTATCATCCTAATGTCATTATACATATATAATACACATGCGCGCATACACACAAACACTCTGTGTAATTATAACAACATTATTTTGTTCACGCGGCCTGAAAAATGTGATTAGATGGTGGCTCTGAAATGGCAATATTCAATCAGGCACGACTCGGATATTGGCTCAGAGCACAGTCTTCTACTTATGTAAAATTATGTCTTGTTACGTGTGGTGGGAGCGTGGATGGCTGTGGGAGAAAGAGGGAGCCGAGGCCACGGAGATAATTTCATCTCATGTTACAAGGGCTGAATTGTCATTTCAAAGCTGGAATGCTGATACTGTCCAGCAAGCAATCCCTGGCTATCCTTTCCTGTGTGGATCTCTCAGAAAACATGCTAATTTATCTGCTAAAGATAGCTGCCTTCTCACCAAATCCTGAAAAAAATTTCTCTACTGGAAATGTTCCTAAATGTGACCAAATGATTTCTTTTATAATCATAAAGCTTGGAGGAGCATGTTGCCTGGTAGGACTTTACATGGGCTTCACTTTCCAAACAATGCACAGGAAATGCACACCAGTCATTTCACATCCAGCTCCTGTCAAATAATTTACCTCAACTGTTTTTAGTGAAAATATACCCATGTGCAAATATATATATATATATATCCCTGCATGATAGGGATAGCTGGGGCTGGAAATATCACCAGAATGCCAGGCCATATTTACCCAAGTCAGTGGTCAAAGCAAGTTGCTATTCTCAGTGTGCCAGATTTAAATCGGTTTAAGTAAACAAGCTGACCTCTTTCCACTTCGCAGGTCTGAGCTGTTGTGGCTTTTTTTTTTCCTTAGAAAATTCCCTTTTTAAAAAAATTTGGTGGGCCCCAGAGGACAGTAAGCAGTTGTCTCAGAGGGAGCAGTCAGTGCTGCTGGGGAGCAAGTCAGGGCAAAGTGGGCTTTGCACCAGCCAAACTCAGATTTTGCTTTGTTCTACCCTGCCATCATATGAAAGCAGGATTTCACCTCCTTACTGACTCTGACTGCCTTCCTAATGCCTAAGTGCTTATGACAACCCTTGCTCATCTGTTTTGGCATGAGTTTTTCTGTTTTCCCCAGTTTGGTTTGTGCAAGGACATTTGATCTCCCAGTTATTGAGATCTTTCCTGCCAGCTCTAGAATGAGATGCAGCGACACAGAGAAAGCCTTCCTGAGGTCCCCTCGCTACCTGCAGGGCTAAAGTGTCCACCACCACAACTTGCTCTTTCCTTTGCATGTAGATTTTTTCCTGGTAAGCACTAGCAGTCTCTTCTGCAGTTATTCCCGCATCTTCATCCTTTACCTGAGCTACAAATGTCGCTACAATGATGAGTCAATCATCTGGTACAGTTTAGTGACATTTAACCTTTGGCTAAGCTGTCTTTGAGCCATCCTACCTAAGCAAGGCAGCTCAGCAGCCAACCTGCTGCAGACTGCCCCACACTTGGCTCCCTTCCTGGTTTTGCCTGAAAACAGCTTTTGGCATCTGGTGCCAAGTGGCAGTGGAGGGGAAAATAAATCAAAATAGCTCCTGGTACCTCAACTCTATGCCCTGAAGTGTCCTTCTTGTCTCACAGTGACCCAGGTCACTGTGGTCCCTTGCACGGGGGGATGGACATTTCTGCACCTCCTGCTGAGGCACCATTGTCAATAACTACAGGTTATAAACACAAGATGTGTGTGGTAAACACCGGAGAGGATGCAGAAATCATTCCTTCTCCTCTCCATCCAGGTACACATGTCAAACTAAAACACTAGAAGGGAAATGGAATTAATCTCCAAGTCCAGCTTTGCCAAACACAAGGGGTTATCCAGCTGCTGTTTCCAGGGAGCAGGAATTGTGGCCATACCAGAGTCCTCTCCTCCTTTGCAGCTCCTCCTTTTCTTATCCAAGAGAGTGCTGGACACATTTCTGAAGTACAAGAATCTCTGAGGTCTAACCACCATGGATTCAGGCCCCTGGGGATGATAGTGTTGGTGGGGTTTTTTTAAATCCTCTTGAGAAACAGATGCTTTGGCTCATCTTCATTATACCTAGCCTGATTTATTTTAATTGCTCTGGGTATCCGGAATACTACGATTGCATAATCTCATGCACATGCCTTTAAAAGGAAGCCTTGGCTGCAAAGCCAGGAAGGCAATGTTAAATACGGAAAAGGTACTATGCAAAGTCTCATTTATTTTGAAAATCACTGGAAAGAGTTCTACTGCAAATTCACAGCAAAACATATGCCACATTTGAATAATGACTTTGAGAGGTGCATTACCTAGCTTAGTAATAAAAAGGGATCTAAAATTTGCAGTTCTTCAAAAAGATCTCACTCCTAAGCCCTGAATTTTGGTGAAAGCAGAGGACAGCGTGGTCCTTGGTGACAGCCACAGGGAGGCCAGAGCTGGCTGCTGGGCACCATGCACTTCCACCTCTACCAAAACTACCAGAAAACAGCAACCCAAGGGAAAAGCCATTCTGAGCAGAATCAGTGGCAAGCACAGGCTCAGGACAGCAAGAAAGGAGGAGGCCTGATGAGATCTGCCCTTCCCAAGTTTAGGAATCCAGAGCTTCATCTCAATAAAACTAAGCAGGAATAACAGGACTGCAGAGAAATACCTGAAGATCATCCACTTATCTTATCTGATGCAGTGCATAAGATGCCAAATATTATCTGCTTGGGAAGAAAAAGTCTGCAGAAGCCTTATTCCAGTTAGGAAAAAGTAGTATTTCAGGTACTTTAAACCTGGACCTAGAATAGGTCTTTATTCTGAAGTTGTGTCCATACCCTATCTATTATTAAGATGCTGCTTTCCTGGAAAGAGATCCATATCCTACCAAAAACTTATTCTTTATCTGTAATTTTTAAAGTTATCTCATTGAACAAATTAATATCTGCCTTAAATACTGTTCCTGGAGAAGCCAATATGATTACTCTGTGAAAGAATGTGACAAAGAACTAAAAAAACCTCTAAACCCTGCCCTTATGTGTGGCTTATTGACATGCTTTCCTGTCTTCTAAGGAAAGGAAAAGCTCTGAGTTTTATAGGCTACCTACACTGCATTACTTATTTAAAAACATGAAACTGAGATTTTATTTTGCAGGAAACAGTCAATTTGTCCTCACCAGTCTTAGCATCCACAGAGAAATGTACATGTGTGCTCTATGCCCCTGGGAATACCCCACATGTCCTTCACAGGCGAGGGAGGAAACCATAATCATATCTGCTGATTTTGAAGGAGAAATGTGAGCGGTTTTCACTTGGCATTATCTGAGATGGTACCAGATTTGTGTAGATTTAGCAGTACCCATTTGCCATACCAGACTCCAGAAGTGCAGCCAGTGCAACCAGACCTGGCTGGCAGGTGCTCTGAGGGGCTGTGAGCAGGCAGCAGCTCTCCAGTTTACAGGATACACCTTTAAACACCCTCCAATTTACTTTGGGTTTACAGAATTTAATGAGATTCACGTTTGGGAGAAGGAGCCCACAGAGACTATCAGGAATATTAATGTTAACACAGGAGTTTATTAGTGCCTGCATGTTGAGAAGTGGGTAAGGAAACCCTCTGGGGTTTGTTGCACTATCAGCAATTATCGTGTGAGATTTCTGTTCCTGGTTTTCCTGCTGAGAAGGCTTGGGAAAAAAGACTTCAAGACTGGTCTTTGGGCACTGTTTGAGTTTTTAAGTCATGTGGATGTTTCCCCCATTGCCTTCTGCAAACCTCCATTTCTCAAACAAGAGCCAAGGGCTTTCCCTGTCCATCCCTCTCTGGAGATTTGCCATTTTTAGCTCAACAAACCCACGTGCCTTATGCTTGCAAAATTCCTACGTGCATCTGCCAATTCAGAGAATAAAAGTAACCCTCCAGGAGTGGTTCTGCACATCTGTTTCGTTCATGTCAAGCCAAGCTACAGCCTTTGCTTCACTCCCTTCTCATGCTCCTGTCTCCACTGCTGGGGAGATATCCCCAGCATTGGACTCATGGTGGAAGCAATGTGGTGCTGTTGCTTATTCAGATGCCAAGAAGTCATCAGCAATTGGTTTCATAAGGAACAAACCTTCAAGACGTGAGTGCAGACTCTGGAAATTTGTCCTTGACATGCCAGAAACCCTTCTTGTCCCTTCTGCTCTTTCTCTTTTAAAGGGGTAATGGCTATAAAACTTCGTGCCTTTATCTAAGTTGGGATCTGGTGCCATGATCAGCCTTTCTCAATGGTTTAGTTTCTTTTCAAGCTCTTAGACACTAAAGAAGGGGAAGAAGTATAAAGGAAAGGAAGAAGCCAATGCTCTGGCTGGCTGATTGCAGTGGAACATCAGCACAATCCAGGGATGCTGCCTGAGTAGACAGCGGTGCCACAGAATTCAGTGAGCTGGTGACAGGAACGCTCAGCAAGGGGGGTAGGAACTCTGTTCCTCCTGGAAGCTTCATTAAGGCTCCTCTTCCAGGAGGTACAGATGAAGATGAACCAGACTTTGCTGATTTTGTCATGAACGTGCCCACATCAGATTCCTGAGGAGCTGCAGCATGGGTGGGAAATGTCAGCCATATTTACATTTGGAAAGAAAACACAGAACAGGCGCTTGCTCTGAGAGCTGCCCAGACTGGGATGAGGCCCTGAGGGCTCCAGCTGCAGGCTGGGCAGGCATGCCCTCTGCCACCTTGCTGAAGGCAGAGCCAAAAGCTCCAGCTCATTTTGCCTAGGTGGCACAAGCCAGGCACTTCTGGTCCCTTGCTCAGAGGGTCACCAAACCGCACCAAAGCACCCTTGGCCCAACAGTGCCTTCGCTGATGGACATGGTACCCAACTGGCATCTCCCAACACAGACGTACCAAGAAACCTTCCCAGCTACAGAAAATTCCTTAAATGGGTCTTGGTTAAACTCCAGCTGCTCGATGGCCTTTGAGAAGTGCAGCAATGCTGCTGGAGGAGATCTTGGTTGTTACATTTAATTAAAGATTCTGCTGAAAGTTCTGCTTAAAATCACAATGCTTGCTGCTTAGAAAAGCGTTGGTGATTCCCCCAGAGGCCTGGCCAGCATTCCTGCTCCTATTGTACAACATTATTGATTAATCAAAACTAATGCTCACAGCTGTTGCCTGATGGATAATGTCTTTGGTGTTTGCCTGCATATAATTATTTACTACTTTATTGATGTTATTTATTTCTTCATTAAGTATTGTTGGCTGTTTAATTACGTGAAACACAACTGCAAGTGTCGCTACTAAAAGCCATGGAAAAGGCTGCCCAGAGCTGAAATCTTTCAACCATAAACTCCAAAAATAAATCTAAATATAAAAATATTGTAGCCAGCCTTTTGAGTGAAGACCATCAAACTGCAAACATGTTACATGTCATCTGGAGGCTGATGCCAGAGCACCACGTTCAGATAGATTTGCAATGCTGATTTAAGTGCGCATGGCAAAGGACTTTGCAGACATGTAAATAAGTTTTATTACCTCTCCAAAACACATATGAGAGGTCCTTATTTTATTCTTGGTAGCTGAATGTTTGAAATAAATCAAAGTGAAACTCTGATTTCCCAAAACTTACATTCAGGAGTGCTTAATGAAGCTCCTTTCAACAACCATTGCTGGCTGAGATCCGAGGAGTTCCCAAGCTGGCTGCTGGCCCTATTCAGTGCCCCAATGAGAAACTGGGAGTCTCTTCAGGCTCTTCCCTCTGCCCTCCATCTCTCTGCAAGAGACAAGGACTCAAGAGCCCCTGCTCCCTCTCTGCCTCAGCACCCTGCTGCCCTCAGCCCCTCAAAAGCACCAGGCAGAGCTACTGCAGCAGGTCTGTGCCTGTCCTCACTGAATTAGGGAGCTAACATCTAATCCTTGGATCAACATGGGATGAGAAGGGATGTGCTGAGGTTTACTTAGCTCATGATATAAGACAAATTTTAACAGAACCACTTTTCTTTGCAACACTAAGTCATGGGGGCTTGGGGGCAAAATCAACATCTTAAATTGTATCTGGAAACCAACAAGCACTAAGGAGAAACTAGGTTTAAGAGATGTTGTGGCTCTCAGCAATCTCTAGGTACTTATCATTTAAAAAACCCAGCCAGGTACATGACTACAAATACAGTATTAGAGAACTTGGAAGGCTCTTCTCAGCCTGCAAAATAACCAGAGGACGACAAGCTCTGCTTCAGCTCGCAAATCATTAACGCACCTATAACAGATCAGAAAGAGCCTCTGTATCTCCTTACTCGTAAAATAAAAATTCCTTCTCTGACATCCTCTCCAAACAGCCCTCATCAGGCCCTTTCCCCAGGGTAGGAAAACAAATTGCTCTGGAAGTCCTCTCCTGGACATCAGTGCATTTGTTATTCGGGAGCTACTGGCCTGAATGTCTCTATGCAGCTCCCTGCAGATCTCCCACTATGTCTGAGGCAGTGCATTACCATCAGGGAGGACTTAGCCCCTACTTCATGAAAAGTACATAAGACAACCAGTTGCCAAACCTCTAACTTCCCTGTGGCCCTGTCCTAGGGCACAGCCTCTGCTTTTCCTATGGCAGCCCTGAGGCGGACCACCCTAATGCCTGGCGCCATCAGGTCACCTGAGTGTTCCGACATATCTCAAGCCAGAGCACGAGCAGAAGTTGGTCACAGGGCCCAAGTTCTGCCCATGATCTCAATAGATGCTCATCTCTTGTTTTAACTAAAACATGTCAATTTAGTTAAAAACTCTCAGAGAAAACATGGGAGAAATAATAAGCAGAGAGGAAGAATAAAAAAAACCCCAAACAATGATGGGTCTAGGGAATTTGGTCTCCATTTCCCTCCTTGTTTCCTCCCCAACCTGCACATTTTCATGCATTTCCTCTCTCCCAGGCTAGTTCTTCCTCCTGTTTTTTAAAATGTCACCATCTTTCCTGTATCCCTTGTGCCCACGTTGTGATGGTACCGTTGGGCACCTTTCCAGCAGGGATGCACAGAGCAATGGGGAGCACAGCTAACATTTTCAAAGGAAGCTAAGGAAATCTTTATGGAGAGCTTGGTGAGAATTTGGCACTTGGCATCCTTTTGCTCCTTTGAAAGACTTTGAAAGTCCCACCCTACAGGAACAATCTAAACAAATGTATGCCCCAATGCTGATAAATCCCTTTGGAGAGATATCAAAGAAAATCTTGCTGGGTTTGGAGACCTTTGAAGAAAGGGAAATATCCTGCCAACCTGACGCTGAGATCTATCTTGTTCCACCATGTGGTCCAAATCATCAGAGTCCTCCATAGCTCCCCTTCCTCCTTGGGGTGTGGAGAGCAGCACTGCCTTGCTGAAGAAAGGGATTTGCAGGCCAAGAGGACAGCATAATTTGAGAAAAATTCAAATGAAAAATTACTTAACAATGGAACTTGTTACTGTGTCTAAAAATATCTCAGTGACTCAGATTACTGAAAACAGCAAAGCTAAGGAGCAAACCCCGTAGCCTCTTCTCAGCAGTCAGCTGGCTTCATTCACTAGCTTGGCATCTCTTTCCCCTTATGTTTTTAATATCATGAGTAGGGTTTTTTTAAAGTCGACAATAAGTTAATGTTTAATGGTTTGCCGAGTACAGTTCTGGGTGTTTACATGTTCTGCAACCAGCCAAATTTGTAGAGCAAATTAAAAGTCTGTAAGACCAGGATAGGTGAATTACAGGTATCTATTGCTCAGAAGTTATTGCCTCATTGTGTCCTGCATGCCCCCCAAAATAAACGGTTTCAATTATGTTTTCACTTTCCCCAGCAATATTAGCACCTCTCGGCACTGCCAGCCAGGGCCATCGCTCCTCAGTCTGTCTGTTACAGCTTTGTGCACATGCACTTCCTGGGAATGTGCAACCTTGCGTGACACCACGGTCCCAGGCTTTGCAGGGTAACCTATTAAACCCTCTGGCACTGCACCAGGTGCTCTGGAGAAGCATGGGAGAAGGAAAGGTGGGGATTATGGTGTTGTCAATGCTTTTTTATACTAATGAGATGGATGGGTGTGACCCTTTCTTCCACTGAGCAAAATATAAATAGTGAGAGTTTTCCACTCCCTGACGCTGAGTGAGCCATTCCCCACTCCTTGCTGCAGTGACACCAAGGGGAGAGCAGGGCAGCTCAGAGATGCCCCCTGCCCCAGACATGTACCCTCAATCTGGATATTACCCACTCCACACGATGCAGTGGGTTCCTTCTCCACATTGCCAAGGTGTCCCTGGCGATATGAACAGAGGTGGTCGATGTCCCTGTGCTGTGGCTGAATCCACCAGGAAAGGGCAAAGTGAGTCCCCTCATCCCACCTCGTGCAGGGCAGACAGCAGCCATGGCAAGCTGGCAGAGCTGGACCTAAGGAAACAAAATTAGATTTTTAGAAAAGGGCAATGTGTCTTGTATTGTCAATGTTAAAATTCCCACTGCTAGGACTGGGAACAGGATTGGGCCCAGGCTGCTTCCCCAGTCTTTCCCAGGCTCATGAAGATTTAAAATTCTAGATTTTAAATGGTAGTTTATTTCTGGCTGACCTGTTTGGCTTGAACTGTTACATGTTTTCAGCTTATTTTTATGCTCCTGTGTTAGTACACAAACCTAACCAAGAACAAGAACAACACTGTTCAGCCTCCACTGGCTGCACAGGCTGAACTCCCTCAAAACCATGGCAATCTCTCTGTCCAGCTCCTCTTGGACCATGTGAATTCCTTAAGGGGAGTGAAGGGATGAAGGCCAGGGCTCATGGGCACATCCCTCCTCAGCAATGTCCCCTGCAGATCTGACACCTCACAAACCTCTGTGGGGTGACAGGGAAGAACCGTGAATGGTGTGGGGCATGTTGGTCAAAGAAACCCCTCACACACACATTTGGATCAGCTCATGTCACTGGATGTCAGTGGCAAACTCTGTGACATTCCTCTGTGTTAATTTTTTCCCTTTCCCTGCTATTAGAAGGAGATTTTATCTTCCCTTCCCACACCCTTCCCATCACCCCATGCCTGTTTCACTAAAACCTGCCTTTCGGGTCAGCGTGCTGGTAAGAGATTAATTTTACACTGCAAGGAACACCAAGCAGAGTATTTCAGCTTTGACATATGAGATGTCTGTTACCATACTGCAGTTTTTCTAAATTAAATATTAGGAAAAATTAAACCCAATTGTGGTCTGTGTTCCTATGGAAAATATTTCTCTTCCAAACAGTTCCTCCATGCTAAATGACTTAACTAACTGAAAACACAATAAATATGCAGCAAGTTAAAAATCTATATTATTCAGGTTTTAAGGCTTATAACTAAAAGTGGTTTAATGTTTCATGCCTAATAATAGATTACTCCTATCACATTTCTAACCTTTATTTCTACCAGCTTTGAAGTCCAGCCATATAAAGGCTGTTTGTAGAACCACACGAAAGTTAAAGCAAATATTACTCAGAGTGATTCATATGAACAAGAATTTGCAATGAAGGCAGAGGGTTTTTTGTGTCTGTATCAAAGGAAATGAAATGTTTGCAATATTTTCAGTTGATAAATGCATTAAAACATTTTAGTTGTGTAGTATGAACATTGCTGACATAAACAGACTTTGACCTGAAACAGATTGTATTAAGCTCTGTGGGAGAGGCAGCATTAAAAGAAATAAAAATAAAATTAAATAAAAAATAGACATTCCTAGATTTCAGAATCTGCCACAAGGTCACCGCAGTCCTTAATTAGCTGAATACATTAAGAGAAGGCTGGAACACAGATTCTGTAAAGAGAGCAAATGTATGTTTAATCCTCTGTTCTTTGCTTACAGATTACCCTTTCAGAACGAGTAACCTTATTTTCTTTTTAAATATCTATTTACCTTTTTGAGCTTTGCATAGCAAAGCAGGGTTTCTTTTTTTTATTTCCTTCCCACTGTTGCAAAAGAAATTAATTTGTTGCTAGTTGCTATGCATTGGCAGGATTTCTGCATAAAGAATGTAAGCCATCTATCTTTGTATTCAAGATATAGTTAATCTGGCAGTTAAAATACTTTGGAAACATTTTGATGACTTATCTGGAAAAGTAGCTTTGCATTTTCAAAGAAAACTCAGAACTGTATTGCAAGAGGAAGATAAAAGATATATGAAGTGTTTGTTCCAAGCGATACTGTTCATTTAAAGATCAGAATGTAACCCCACCCAAGCAATTATTGTGGAAAAACAAGACAAAAATCCTTATACAGCTTTCTGACACGGTCTTTATTTGGGAAACAAAATAACTATATTACAGTTATAGCCTAATGGATTGCAAGCTGTTTTATTAGAGTCAGCTGAATCCTGTTTAGCATAAAAAAGAACTCTGTTTGCTATCAAGAACACATTTACATTAATATGACTTTGACAAAGTAAAATAAAATCGCATTAAGATGATGTAAGTAGATAAGACAATGAAATCTCTGTGAGATAGTTTTGGCACACCAATTAGAGTCAAGTCCCTACAGGAAAGAAACATATTTTTATACCAAGTATCCATGTGTTTTTAAGTCGTAGAGTGGCCAGAATTAATCCCATGCTTAAAATACTTCCAGCCAGGGAAAAGAGAAAGTTTATTATTATTATTTTTATTTTTCCCTTGAAAGGTAAAATTTCTGATAAACGACATTTTTATTTGCAATAATACAAACAAGTTTTGTTCTCTGCACTAGCCTGTAATCATCCTGATTATTGCAAGGGACTTTCCAATATAGAGCAGCTGAAAACAAGGTTTTGGATTACATGGTAATTTAGGAATGCATGAAAAGCCAAGCAGTCACCATAATAGAGCACTGCACAAACTTCATGGCTTTTACAGCAAAACATAACATATGTTTTGTGATTCATTTGAATGATTTTTCAAGTTTTTTGGTCAAAAAATATGTCGAGCTCTACTATTGGTCCTATATTTAGGGAATCTTACTCTTGAAAAACGACAACGACACCACCCCCCCCACTTTGATGTTTCTCCTTTTAGTTTGGTCATTAAAGCTCGGCAGTGATGGATGGTGATAATGCTGTGGGGTTTATGAGTAATCAGGCCCTGGCAGCCACAATATTTCTTTTGTAGTGAAACTTTAATATTCCTTTGGCCGTGCATAAACTTTTTCTGCTTTTGGAATTATGCTGCATAAGCTACCCACTAGGCATTACAAAACAGATATTGCTGGTGTTTTATTTAACACCTGACAGGGTGAAGCTTCCCCCCAGGACAAGAGCTGGGCTGTAGCAGCCCTTCTGTGGTCAGGGCAGGGCTATATTCACAGGGGGAGCCCCTGCAACGGGAGAGGAATTTTTGGCTGTGTCCCAGTCAGGGCACCCAAGACACCCCTACTCTCCTCCTCCCCTTTCACATATTTTTAGTGAACTTGCTGCAGCAAACACCAGGTGTCTCCACTTAGCTGGGCTACAGCTTAAAAAGGGGGCCTGCCACCAAAAAAAAAAAAAAAATTAGGGCTGTTCTTTCCGTGGCTTCTATTGTGCTTGTTGCAATGCTGCATGCGAGGATGAGGACGTACAGACACGACATATTCATATTTTATTTTGTCACTCAAGACACCTCTGTCAGGCAAGGCAGGACTTTCCAGAGTTTGAAATAATCCAAATTCAATCACTTTAAAGCTGCTACAATATGCAAGTCCTGGCAGCCGTTTTAAATTAATGGAACATCAGATGTGCTCTGATCCTCTCAATTTCCTTAGGCAAGGGAAATTCTGCTGCGGTGGTAGCGGGAGGGGAAATATAGGGCTATCAGTAAAATAAATGTCAGCTTTTGTCTGCTGATAGAAAAATGCATACAGCAAAAAAAGATACAGTATTTATTGCTCTGTAATTAAAATCTATTTCTATATGTGGTAAGGTTTATCTTAGTGGTTTGGACAAGTGAACTCTGTGCAGTCTGATCCACAGGAATGGACATTAAATAAAGCCAAAATACAAACCTGTTTTTTATTTGGCATTTTACAAACACAGCTCAGTATTTTGCTTGCATGTAGATATTTATTTATTGTGCCTGCTCATGTGCTTATTAATAAAAATATTAAAATTTCCATCTTGGAAGGACAGATTGGATTTTTGTAAGAGCTGGGGGAAGGAAGGGGGGGTAAGGAGGGGGAGAGGAAGAGAGAGAAAATCTGAAAAAACTCGATAGCAAGATGCCAGCCTATGGTTTGGAGTTTACTTAGAAAGTGTAAACATTCATTGGGTTTGTCAAAAGGTTTGCAGAATTGAGAACCTTTTGATCAAACCTGGGCTGTGTTTTGAGGATACTTGCCCTGAAATGTGGTTTTCAATATGCAATTCAGTAGCTTTTGCTTTTGAAATACAAACAAGCCCAAAAATTCAAATTAAGGCTCTGAACCCTGCATAAAAGCACAGGCTTTTATGGTGCATGGTTTCTGCTGATCTGTAGGGCTAATCAGCCAGGCCTATGTCCTGGCTACAAGGGCCCACATTTCATAAAGTCTTTTTCCTGAAACAAAAATACAATACAAGCTGTCAGAGTTAAATTGAGGACAAGGTATTTCTTTAATTCAGATTTTTCAGTTATTTGATTTATATGAGGAGAACCTGGCTTCTTCCATGCTAAGTGGGACTCACATTGCCAGACAGTATGCTTAAAAGTTATTTTTAAAAATGCTGGGGTTTGAAGGCTCTTAAATCCTTTGATGTAAATGAAAATAAAATCATAGTCTGGAACCTAACAGAGACTTTTAATCTTGATCTTAAAAGCATGAATCATACTACAGCATAGAGTAAAACTATTTTCTGTCCTCTGCACTCACCTTCTCTACACATACTGATATTTGATATTTATAGGTGGCAATTAGAGGTACTCTCAGGTAGTCCCAGTGCCTCCTGCCAAGCTCTGTATGCAGTTCCTGCCTTGCAGTCTATGGCTGAGATTTCTACAGCCTCGCTGCTTTTCTCATTTCAATGTGACATTTCAAGGAAGTCTGATTAAAACAAAGCAAAGTAGAAGGAAAATGTCTCAAATTCCAGGTGAGTAATGTTGTGGCAACAAAATGTACACCAATTACTGTCTCAGAGTAGGAAAACTAGTGGCAAGGCAGAGATGCTGCAATAAAATTACCAAAAATCTCTGAGAGCCACTGTGGAAAACCCAGCCACTGTTTTCTGGCAGATGTGGAGCAGAGCACCAGTCCAGCCCCAGCCCATCTCCAAAAGCTGCTCTGCTGGGTCTCAGAAGTGCAGCCAGCACACAGATGCCAGGTTTCAAATACTGGATGAAGAAAGGCCAGCTGAAATATGGGTTTTAATCAGATTTTCATGTTGTAAAATTTCAGCTTGATGCTAAATGGAGAGCATCCTATCCCAGATCTGCCAGCAGAGGCTTTCCCTCTGCCTGCCTAGAGCACAGGTTAGTGTCTGCCAGGATGCTCCCTCAGGATGGACACCAAGCAGGGACAAAGGCACTGAACCCCAGGGTGTCCTTCAGTGCTCCCACACAAATACAGCAGTGAACTTGGCTGAGGATGCTCTCCTCAGCCCAAAGGGCTCCCTGAGATCTCCTGCCAAGCCCAGTGCCTGGCATCTGCAAGGGTGCAGCAGCAGGGCTGATGGCAGCCACAAACCTCAGTCCTTCATCCCAGTGGTCATCCCAAGGGAGAGCTATGGGAGGTGGGACACAGCCTGGCTGTGCCCCTGCTGGCAAGCAGACACGTGCTGTGGTGGCAAGGGGTACCACGGCCTTGAGGGGTGCCATGGATGTTACCACATCAGGCTTCTATTCTCCAAGATCCTGCCATGGTTTTTGTCCCAGAAAAGGTGGGGATCAGCAAGAAATGAATTCCAGATTTATCTACTTTCTACAGTCTTGTCCTGGTGAGTCTGAAGGCAATGCAGGATGCTTCCCACAGTTACACCCACCATCAAATCATGACAGCAGAAACAAGCAAGATAGAAGTTCATCCTACCTTTATGACCCAGGCATTGAATCCCCATGTCTGAATCTTTCTGTATTTGAAATTATCCATTGCCTTCATTGTGTTTTGAGGTAAAGAATTTGAAGATTTGTCCCTAAATAAAAAGTACCAAATTAATATAACAGCATGGTGGAGTTTCCATTTAACTGCACGCAACAGTCAAGATATTCAGACTTATGGCTCCCACTGCAATTGTAATTCAGTTTCCTTACTCATACATAATGCTTTTATCTACTCTGAATGAGGTTATTTTTAGTTCCTTAACAAGCCTATATAATTCAGCTGTCACAGCTTCCATAAGAACAATACCTTGGAATTTCCTGCCTTTAATTTGGACTAACTTCTGTCTATAAGCATCACATTAGCAATGTTTCCAACTTGTGTGGTGACTATGAAATCAATCATTACATACATTCACACTACATATATATTTATAATGTTTGACTACCATTGGCAGAGGTAACATCTCAAAGTAATGTTAGGATCTCCTCTGGATAAATGCAACAGCCCCAGCTGGGCTGCCTCCCCTCTGTTCCAGCCTTTGCAGCTGGGCTGTTGCCTGTGAAGAGAATTCTCCTGCCCATGCAGGAGGAGGCACTAGATATGAACCTGCCTCAAGTCCTTCCCTACCTTTTCTGCCCTGAGGACTTCTCCTGTTGCCTGACCACAGGAATATGATGTCCTCAGGACAGAGATGCCTCTGTCACCCACAACAGGACCTCAGAAGTGCTGCAGAAGGGCACTGGGGGAGCTCACCAGACACCCCATCGCTCCAAGCTGTGCCCAGCCCACAAGAGGAGATTGCTACGGCCGCCTCCATTCCGTGACAAAAGCAGGCAGGACGTTCAGCAGCTGAGCACTGAGGCTTCCCAATTAGCCATCCTGGTGTGTGCTGACAGATGGCTGGTTCTATTTTTGCCTCCCTTACTCCAGGCCCATTCATTCAGTGCACTCCTTTTGATTACACAGACCCATGTGCTGAAAACCTCATCGCCTTTCTCCTGAGCATGTCAGCTGGTCTGACAGGAGATGTTATCTTTCTCTAAACCACCACTCTTGATCTTCACCATTTATTTTGTGTCACAGAAGAACAAGTCCAGTTTGACTGTGCTCACACTTGGCAGTTGCTGTGAGCTTCAGACCAACAGCTGTTCATAGAAGTGCAAATTTTATCTCTCCCTTGCCCCAGGGCCACCCCTCCTACAGACCAGCAAGCCAAGCTGGTGAGGAAGGGCATCAGGAGGCAACAAAAGGCAAGAAAGATTTTGCCCAAGATCCAATAAACATCCCTGTCTAGGTTTTCTCCCACAAAAGCACAGGTCCCCAGAGTTCAATATTCAGCAAGGCCAAAACATGCATAGGCAGAGAAACCCAAGAGTTACAGGTTATTATATTGCTTCTCAACTGGCTCCACATTTTCTTCTCATCCCAATAGTTTTCTAAAACTTTGCCTGTATTTTCAAACTAAGAATGTCCTAACTCATGGAATAAAGAGAACCAGGGTTCAAAAACAAGACCAACATAAGGCTGGCGTAGGTTAACTCCAGCATAGCTCTGGGGGACCAAGCTGTGCTCTGTGGGAAAGAGTGGTGGGAGCCCAGCTGAGGGACTCAGGGCTACCTGAGCAGAGCCAGCACCACACACAGCCATTTCTGGAAGGATCTCAGCTGGAACCCTAAGTTGTTATGCTGCTTAGGAGAACAGCTCTCACATATGTATCTCCTGCTCACTTGTGATCAATGGCCTCATGGAAAAACAGCATCAATAATGAATAAGTAGCAAAAGATGTGCTCTACCTTTCCAGCCCTGGCCATTAACAAAGACTGTCAGATGGTCCAAAATTACTTCACCTTAGTCATGTTGATTTTTACCAGCTGGGAATCTGGCCCAGGTTTCCTCTGGCTCCTCAGGGAAATAAACCATATAATATCATGGCTGAGCTGACAACACAGGTAGACCACAATTTCCACAAAATGTGGCTGGAGAGAGGATAAGGCTGTTTGCATTGACCAGATGGCACAAGCACAGTTTAGCAAGTGAGGAAAAATCATCCAGCCACAGAGGGCTGCTGCTGGCTTGGTTGGGGCTCTGGCACCAACTCCCTGCACGAACCCCAGCTTTCTAGAGAGTCTGTGAGAAGATGCAGTCCAAGGTGGAGCAGGCAGTGCCAGTGACACAGTGAATGCATATGTTCCCAGGAATACTGAGGGGCAGCCTGGCACTCTGGCAGGGGCTGGAAGCTGCACAGCACATGCACATGCAGCCACAGCTATCATTAGAGTTTTGCTGCTTTGGCACATCTTCCTAATTTACTTAATTTCTATTTATGCCATTCTGTTTCTGTTTTGAGCCTTTATCAGATGCTGGCATGTTTTGTGCAGAGCCAAACTTTGAAAGAAGCAATTTTTAACGGGAGGATAAAAATTGTCAGAGCACTGGGAAGGGCCATTCCCTAGAGAGGGGTGACCACTGTAACTGCAATAAGGCAACTAGACCAGTCCCTAGGAGTAGGCCAGTGCTATCCTGCCTGGAAATGCAGATCTCTGAGGATTTGTGGAATGTACTTAGAGAGTCTGTGAAACTTAACGGGGGAAAACCCAACCTTGCTGACTGCAGTTTTCCACACCTGAGTCTAAACCTGCACTGGAAAATGGAGGGAAAGGTCTGCAAAGGAAGAGAGGTCAAAACCTGCAGCATAAGCATGTTGCAGCTCTGTTTCTGAGGTAGCCAGCAATTGTGTCCAATTTATGAGTACTTCTGAAATAAACCACTTCATTACTGCAGTCATTCTGCAAAGCACAGGCAGGGGTGATGGGAACACTCTCTTTTCCTTGCCTCCACCTGTGACCCAGTGATGTGCTTGGAGGGTGCACAGAGGGAGCTCCTGAGAAGCAGCTTCCAGGGAAGAGTTACACACAGCGCCGTGCCCGAGCAGCGCGGGTCAGCAGTGGTGGTGTTAAACTCTGAGAGATCCAGTACAAGTAGCAGATGAGAAGAATACAGCTGTTGATGCTGACATGTTGCTGGCCTTATGGAATGATGATAAACAGCTGGAAATGCACACGATGCACTGGGGAATAGGGATCTAGAGAAGAATTTCAGGCTCACTGGAACATCACAAATGAAAGGGCAATCAACTGAGGATGCTGAATTCTTCCTTTACAAATAATCTGTAGATCCTTTCACTGCTTCTTACTGCAATGGGTACCAGTCCCCTGGCTTTTGGAATATACTCATGGCAGGGCTGCAGGCTTCCAGGCTGACACTGTTTCTCTTAGTGAATGACGCAGAATAGATCCACAGATCTTCCTTCTTGGAGGAGCTTGCTTTCTTTCTTTCCCAATTACATGGTGAGTGAGTGTTCTGCCCAGCAGCCCCAGGCTTCAGACCACACTGCTCCCTACACATTTCCAAGGCCAGGTGGGCACTGAGAGCTGTGGGATATCACTTCAAGTAATTTCCCAGTGGGACCAGCTACTGAAGGACTGAAAGCCCTTCTAGAGCTACCTTAAAACTGGAGAGCTTGTTTCTGTATTTCCATGGCGCCAGTGTTGTACTCTGCCATCAGCTTTAATTGTTGCTGCTCTGAAGAAAGCCTTTGTTCAGTACAATTGCCTACTCCACAGTGACATCATCCAAGGCTGTGTAAAAAAAGCACAGCCTGGAGTAGTCAGCCATGTGATGATGTATAAATAGCACTGACAGAACAATATTATAAACTCTATTGGTACAGCTGAGATAAAGCTCGCAAGTTGCTGATTCATCTAAGATACTGGCTTGAGGGATGGCATGAGGTTCAGCTACAATAAATGTTCTCAGCTAAAGGCATATTACTTCACCATGAATCAGCTGTTCAGATCTTTCATTCCTTTCAGAAAAGCACCTGTCTCTTCCTGCTTTGGTCCTCCATTACTGAATACATGAATTATAGCGCCCGATTTTATTTCTACTTCCTTTATGCTGAAATATGCCACAATCAGAGAGTTCTCTAAGGTTTTAAATACACACAGGAAAAGCAAAGCATTCCTAAAACTGCTTGCTGAGTGCTTGTATTTCAATAAACCTGGAAATACTGAACCATACTTCCAACATACCCTGAGTAGGTAATGACTAAGTCCTTTTATGGCTTTCAATAAGATCCATGAAAGGTCACCTACATGTCCATGTACAATGTGGTTTTAAAATGGACAAAGTGAAACCTCACACCTTCATGCTGGATCTCCATGGACCGTGGGTGACAGAAACGAGCTCTACCAAATGTGATTACTTTGCAGTTTGGCACCCATGATTGCACTTACAGGTAACTTACTGAATTTCTGTTTGCCAGAAACTCAAGTCCATCCTGTGTTCCTGCACAGCACAATCCTACACCGTGATCATCACCCACATGAGCACCAACTACATAGACATCCTGCCCCATTGGAGCAGCTTGCTCAGTACAGGCAGAGCACTTCATCTGCTGCCCCAGTCTCACTTGCATCAGAGCTGCTCATTCAGGACCATTAAAATGAGCAAGGCTTATACAATTACAGAACTTTATATTAATTTTTAAAACTTGCAGATGTTGCAATCCGTACATATGGGAATAGTGCCAAATGTTATGATGACAGAAAAGAGTTTTATTGGCCAGGGTTTAAAAGTGAGGAAGCAGGAAAAGAAAAATCTCACCCTACCACTATCAAGGCACTGCATGTATCTGGTTTTGCACACAGCTTCTGGTTAGCAGCTCTGCCTTTCTGATAGTGAGTTAATCAGCTAATGTTTTTATAAGCACAAAACCAATAAAATGGTGTGGGGGAAAATGACAATAAAAATCCCTTATTTGCTTTAGATGTGCTTTTATGTCCACTAAATCCTTCTTGCTCTGCCCAGAGAAGACATTTCTGCATTGAGTTTCAAACAGCAATGCCAGCATATGATCCTACATACCTGCTGCTTGTGTCAACATCCTTTTCCAGGGCGTGCATCCTTTGGGATGCTGCTGTGCAGCAGCTCAGAGAATGTGCAGCTCTTGGGTTATTTTGGCTGAGGCTGCTGGAGGATCAACAGGCTGAGGTGCTTTGCAGAGAGCACTGAAGTGACGCTCAGTGATCTGCATAAGCAACATATGTTTTATATAATCAACATCCCCTTTGCATTCCAATTGCATGTCAGTACTGGTAGAGCCCACTGACGCAAAAGATCAGCTCCAGCTTTGAAGCTTGGGACAATAACAAAATAACCTGCTATTTGTTTATGTTAGTAATAAAATCTACCATCAACTACTATTTGATTAGGGCCTCAATGAGAAGCCTGGCCAAAGGAAACCTCCTCAGTGAGCAGGAGATGAAGGAAGTGGATGGGTTGACTGTGGGTTTTCTAAATCTAGTCCAAGAAGTTGATGGTTATGCTTTAAGTTTTCAATTATTTGAGACCCCAGCTTTCCAAAAGACTGCTTGGAGGACTAAGAGAGATTGTAGCATTCACTTTGTGCCTGGATACAAGCTTTGAGAGATGGTGCAGAGCCAAACACAATTACAGTTTTCCTGAATCCATCAGAAGCAGCCAAGGAGCAAGGGCACTTGCAGTGCCTCAGCACAGCAGTCTCTCCCAGTTGCTGGCTTCCCCAGGCATCCCTCCCTGCCTCTACTCCTTCTCCAGCATGGTCAGCTGTGTGGGTTATCCTGTGCCTTGGGGCTGGGGGGATGTGTGCACTTGTACTGCACTAGGAAGCCATCTGGGGGACTGCAGCTGCATGTGCACAATCACCAGACAGTTCTGAACTGACATTTGTGCCACTGCAACTGTAGGCACGGTACATGGGAAGAGATCAAAGGTACTTTTTGCACACGATCAGTTCTTATGCATTAAGGTTACATTTCTGAGGTAGAAAAAAGCTGGTTTATAGAGCACACCTAAGCAGGCAATTCCAACTCCTGGCATCTCTTCCCCAGTATCTCCACCCTGGTGAGCATGGGAAGGTAGTGTTGCCTCACCCAGCCACAGATTTTTCCACAGATCATTCCAGTAACACCATAGACTCAGGTGTAAGACTTCCAAAATAGCAGCCCAATTCATTCCCATGCCCAGTTCAATGGAACCTTTCTGATTATTTTCACAGCATTCTGCAAGGGCTGTTTCTTTTCCTGCTGCATGAAACAGAAAATCTCCTAATGTGTTCCTGAAATGCCTTGAGAAGTTAATGTGACCTATTCTCTATCATCAAGAGAATGATACTGGAACGAAAGAAAGTGCTTTTTTTTCCCTCCAGGTTTCTTAATATTCAGTCCTCATATGGCATAAGGGAGTAAACTCTCAATTACACGAAGGCAAATACCAAGAAATCTGTCAAAGCCAATAGAGTTATTCTGGACACCTGAATAATTTCTCCCTTGGTATGATTCAGTCTCCAAAATCCACTCTGAATATCCTTAATAACTGTTTGCTATTCACCTACATTTTCAGCTCTCTTATAATTCTAACATTTTTCCATGTTTCACAAATAGCCCGAGTCAGTTTTTTTCAGATGATGCTGTTTCCCCCACTTGGCTTCCCTATGAATAACCTCCATCATCACTATGCTACTTTTGCTTGAATGTTTCATTTTTAACAATAAACATCTATCCCAGATGCCTTATTTTCAGCTTCATTAAACGTTTTACTGGTTCATCCTGAGTCATGTCAATATTTACCTTGGACAGGGCTCCGTATCCTTTCATTTCTAAGACCAGAATTCTCCAGACAAGCTTATTGTTCCTGGCTTGACTTCTACAAGTCACAGCTTAAAACTTTTTTGATGTATTAAACAAGATGCAAATTCACCCAGCCATTCTCTTTGCTGTGTGCTGCCAGCTATGCCTATTCCAAACATCTCTGAGCTGATTCACTTCAACTTCTGTGTACACACAGGCCCCAAACCTGCACTCAGTCACTGTGAGGTAATTTCAAAGCCATTTAAAAGCAGCAATTAGCAGTAGAGAAAGCAGCAACCAGACATCAACCTTTTGGGCACAGAACCACAACAGACCATTTCCAGTGACCTTTTGCATTGTAGAAAAAGGTGTCAGGAAACAGAAGGGGTTGCCAGGCCCTGCAAGGCAGTGTTGGCCTTCACTGTACAAACCTGGATGTTCTCCTGGGAGATGGGACTGAGATTCCTCACTCCAGATCTCCGTCCTGCTCCTGAGGAGCAGGGCTGACTTGTGCTGAGCCATGCAAGGCACACCTGAGGCATCCCAGCATGGTCAATCCCAAGCAGCCCTGAGCTGCTGCCCACAGCCATCCACAGCCAGGCTGCTCCTCACTGCTGTCAGAGCTCTGAGGAGAACTTCAGGGAAGTTCTTTATTTACAAGATCACAGGGAGAAAAAGTTTGATAAGTGGAATTTTCTTGATAATTTTCTGGATCTTTACACTGAGTTTACTTCAGGTCCTGTTTCAAAGCAGTAGCATAAAAAAGGTAGTTTGGGGTTCAATAAATTTCTATTTTAGATCCACATTCTGCCCTGGAATATAACATTTTGAATTTTATATTGGATATAAAAAAGTAAAGGTGTCAAGCTAGGAAAGTGCTTTGAAAATAACAAAGGACTTTATGTGGGATTGTTTGAGGTCATTTTTTATGTTGTTCCTGACTGTATTTAAAATATCTCCTTTCAGTTTGAAATGTCTTTGTCACTCACTGAAATCAGCAGTGCAGACTGGCAGGGCAGTTGGGCATGCACCACAAAGGGATATACATGGAAAAAAGCACTCAGAGGTTTGGACACCTCCAAAGTGAGTATTATACCTGTGCCATCAACCCACATTTGTCAAGAGGTGTCAACATGGCCTAGAGAGGCAGTGAGGCACATTCTTGTGAGAGGGGAGGCAATTTCACATCTTACCAACCTCCCTGAGCTAGGTACTCCTAGAAGGAGGTCAAGGAGATGTCTTTAGATGTTACTCCAGGTGTGCAACAGTTTTCATCAGAAATCCAGGATATGAGCTGAGTTCACAGTGCAACCATGTCAGTGACAGCAGATACATGGGGCTAGTTTAGAAATCCCTTGCCTGGGTGCTTTGGCAATAGCAGCACAAGTAAATAATTGCTGCAGCCAGCCCACATGCTGCTGCCAACATCCCAGAAAGAGCATGTCCACACAGGAAAATGAAGGTAATATTTCTGTGCACCCATGAGCCCACTTCAGCTCACACACTGCTCCCCTGTGCTGTGACCCAAAGGGTTGTACTGCTGACAGGACAGCTGAGGGTTTATTTGGTTTGGAAAGAATTTGCTCAGCTCTAAAGAAGAGGTGATCATTTTCCTCTTTTGGTCTAAGCTAAAATCAGAGAGATGAGCTTGAAACAGGGCTATTCAAATTCCCTTCTCTGACCTATGTTCCCTGCACATTCACTCCAGTGAGAAAAAAGCAGCTTGAAGGACCACTGTCTCTCACAAACACATGGAGCTAGAAGATAAAAGGGAATGGTTGAATACTAGATTAAATGCAAGTTTCATGTTAATGATCACTTACAGAGACCTAATAAATGTTTCTGTGCAAGGTATTGTCAGAGGTTTTGCTCTGCCATTTTTTGTTTTGCACCTGTATTTAGGAGCTTTTTCCCCTTAGAGGATAATATTCAGGTTTTAAAATTTATTTTAATCTCCCACTACATTCATCTGTCACTCTTTGAAAGAGCTTCTTTTTTTAATAAAGTGTCTTTTTTTCTTTTTCATGTGCTGCTATATCAGAATGGAGTATTTAGAATAAGCCCTTTCCACAGCAGTGCTGCACAGGATGGGATGACATGTAGGAAGGCAGCTTTTTTATAGCATATGATCTCTTTTGACCCAAACAACTATTCAGAGTTTTAGAGGTATTGTATTTACCCTGGCTGGGGACTGACAAAGGGTCTTCACTGCAAATCTCTCTGCTTCATTTCCAGAGCAAAGAACCCACAAAGGACAGAGGTTTTTCTGATGGACCCCCTGCAAAAGCTCTCAAGGTGGGAGTTTATTTGGGTTTTTTGTTGGTTTGGGGTTTTTTCACTCTATTGGGCCTAGGGTGCTACTTCAAAAAAAAAAAAAATTGCTCCCTTCAGAGCAAAGGCGTTTGACAGGCTGTGCTGGGCACCATCAGGTGTCTTCTCCCAGCTCTCCATCCCACCTTCCAGCCAGAGGATACCCCAGGCAGCAAGTACCCAGCTCCACCTCCCTGTTGGGGGTGGCTGTGAGGTGCACCCTGCGAGGTGCAGCCCCAGCCTCCCACCTCTGCCTGGAACATGGACATGCTGAGTGTGCTCTTCCTTGTGACCCAACTGAAATGACCTCAGGTTACTGTGCCCTGATCAATCAAGCAGTGTGTTTGCTCCCTCTGCTTCACTCTTTGCCTCTATACCTTCAGTTACTGTTATCCTATTATCCTCCATTGTTTTATTGTTTACATCAAAATACCAGTAACTTTTTCTTGCTGCTAAATATGAGCATTTTGGTTTCTAACACACTTGAGCTTTACACATAGTATTTCACACAGGGCCCATGATTTCAGTGCTGACTGCAAGACAAAGCCATGCTATCCCACCTGTTTGAGTTCTGTTTTCTCCACAGCTCTGCGAATTTCCATTTCACTCATCTTCACTCTCCCCAGCCATCCTGCATTTGGCCATAAGATTGCTTTCCTCCTAGAACAGAGGGGACAGTCACTCAGCCTGCAGGTCATACCTAGATTATCTTTAATCACTGTGCAGCTTTGCTGACTGCAATCTCATTTCTTCTTTCAGAATGAGGGAAAAACCCTCAATGAAAAGACAGGCAGTCTTTTCATAGATACTTCTGAATTGGTCACAGAAAAAAAGGTTAAGGGCTCAATTCTTATTACCAGCCTCTCCAGTGGAAACACAGGGGGACTCCAGTAAAATCAGTGGGACTGCAATGGTGTAGCCAAGATCCAGAGCAAGACAGAGGTCTGGAAATAGGCTACTCTGAGCATTTCTTTTTATTAGACATCTCATCTCCTGTTTTATGAGTTATTTTGAAGGTTTACTGTATTCAAGCAGGAGTTCAGATTATGAACTTTGATCGCTCATGGTTTATTCAATATTTTTAATAAAGTTTGAAAAGGTTCCCTGCCATCAAAGAATGTCCCCTTTGATAAATCAATTGAATTTGATTTTTTCTTCATGGAGAATACAAACCAGTGTACTCCTTTGCCAGTTGTTTACAGGCAGCTTCATAGCACACAATAGAACAATTATTTTCTAAGTAAAAGAGCTGTGATCAGAAATGTTAATAAACTACTCAATACTGCAGAATCTTTTGCTTCCTTAAAAAAAAAAACCACACAATAAAGACATATCAAGCCATTTTTAATATAATCTGCATACTTTCCAAATAACATAGTCAGTGAAACAGAGTTGTCTTAAATGGCCTTCTTCACATTTACAGCTGTAACAGCTGCAGTAGCAGCTCTGTCAGGCTTGATTTTATTCAGTGTGCAGGATCAACATAAAATCTAGGCTGAAAATTAAAGGAAGTAAATGTCCCCCTGACAATCAAGAGAATGATTTTGGACCAAGAGTATTTCTGACCACAAGTCACTTTCAAAACCAACTTTGTCATTTGTGCCTGGCCTTATCCCAGTAAGAACTATCATGATTTATTACATTTTCTATAGAACCAGGAGACCATTTATTAGCCCCAAGGTATTGTATTGAGCTTCAATTATGTAATAGACATTATTCCACTGAATATCCAAAGCTTTGTAGAAAGTTTTAGTTCTGGAAAGAAATGTACAAGGTTCTCAAATGATTTCAAGGAAGATCAAACTCCCCCTTTTTTTGCTAGTTGAAAGAGGAAAGGTTCCTTCTTGATAGAAATCATGAATAATTTGAATAGATTTTTTTTCTAAAGGAAAAAACCTCCTTTTTCTTTGAAAGCCATTGATGGCTTGGGATTCAAGTAAAAAAGAATAAAAGAAGAAATAATAGTTTCTTGCTAGGATAGAACGCAATAGGTATGCTGCCAAATTAGTGAGATTTTAATTTAATTATAACTGAGGAGTGCATATGTGATTTGCCTGCTTGTGAGGAATGGGGGTCTCCCACACGTGGCAGAGGAGGGGCAGGTCCTCAACCCTGCTAAGGCCCCCTTGGGGCTGGGTTTGCAGCTGGTGCATGATGCCCCCAGCCTGACTTTCTCTTGAGTGTTCTTCATGATTCAACAACAAACACAGACCGCTGATATCTCATCCAATCCCAGCCATCTGCATCTCCCAGGTTAACTGCCACTGAAGAACTGGTTAACTAGTTACCTGGCTGCCATAAAATAACTATTACTGGACTGCCATAAAATAACTAATAGCCAGTTATCTAGCATCACCCCCCTTCTATCATCCCTTAGAGTTTGTTTAAAAAACCCCATAGATTTTAAAAAGCACTGACACCTAAATAAAAATTGATCAGCTCCAAGCAATTTCACCCTTCACAAGCCATTTTACATGATGGAAGGCTTCAGCTCCCAGCTCTCAGAGGCTTCTCCAGCTCTCAATCATGTGTGAATTTTCCTCTGCTCTCTGTCAACAGCAAAACACAACAGATCCTGTAAACCACCAGGTGAAAGTCAGTCCAGCTGTTGCTTCTGATTTTTCTTCTTTTTAAACTAATAACAAATACCCTGCCCCACACAATGCAAATACAACACATACATGCAACAGCTGTTCTGCTTCAGAGCAGCAAAGCCAGTTACTCCAAGGTATTCTCAGGAAATAGAAAAGCAATATTCTTGAGGCTGACAGATTTCTGAAATGATCTTTAATGTATGCTCGGTTTAACTGGTATTTTAGTAAAATGACTCTTTATGCCAGCTGAGAAGAAAGTAGAAAGTAAATCAACAAGCCTTTTTTCAGATAGACTTCAGTATCTCAAAAATTCCAGTGGGAATGTGCTGCCAAGGTTGCCCCCCCTGCTCATTACAAACCCACTGCTATCACTGGGTGAGACTACAGCTGTTGCATAGGTGTGCTTGCATCTATGTTTTGCCCTCTGTGAGAGCAAGGAAAGAAGGTGATGGATAATGCATTTAACCATAAACATGCCATCCCATGGTTATTTTTGCAGTACAAATGAGCTATGTAGTGTTGAGCTGCATTTGCATGTCATTCTCCAATTCCACTCAGAGAAGCAGTTAAGCACCCTTATTTTTCACTGTAAGACAAAAGAAGCTGGATTCCTAGTTTATCTTAAAAAACATGAACTGAAGTAAAATTGCACGTGCAAGCAGCACATTTATTGCATCAAGGGAAATAAGGCATCAAGCCAGAACCTGATCTTGTTTGCCACTATGTAAACGATGAGTAAGTCTGCTAGGGTCAGCAGAGCAGCAGAGTCACATGAGTCACAGCACAGTGCTCTTTGGAAAGATTGCTCCATGGCTAAATATACCACTACAGTCGCTTCAAGAAAAGCTCTGCGTCAACTTCGAATAAATGCTGGCGGTGACGCTGAGCTCTGGGCACTCGCAGAGCCTAAAGAATGAACAGGAATTAACAAGTGGCCTTAAAAACATATTTAAGGGAATAGAAGTTTTGTCTGCACGAGAGCTGAAGGATCTGACCTTTGGTAGAGAAAATCATCATTAGTGACCTAATTTTTCTGCCACACACATTTAGCCATTCTTCAAGTGGGTCTGGGGGAAAAAAAAAAGTAGAAAAGACCACTAAACTCAACAGACCAATTTCATTCAAGTTACCATTCAACTCTGTGAAAACATGGAGATTGTTTCACTATATTTGTTACCAGGCTTGTCCCAGCAAATGATGACTTGTTCCTCTCAGGGAAATGCAATAATGAATCTATTGTTATCAGTGAGTATGGGCAGCCACACCGACAGAAGCCAACCCAACACCATGTCCCTGTAATTAAGCAAAACAGTAATTCCAATGAATACTTTTATATCTCCATCTGATACACACAGTGCTGAATCTGGAAAAATAAGAGCTCAATAAACCATAAAATAAATGCCCTTTGATCTTTTCTTTTTTCAGTGGGGCCATAATTTAGTGCTATTACAACAGTAGTTTCAAGTAACCAAAATTGCTTATCAACTGAATGTTTCAAATGCATTCTGTATCAACAAAGTCCTGAATTAGAAGAGATTTCATAATTCCTTATGAATTGCTCTCCTACCCGGTCTTTCCACTGGAAGCCTGATTAAATGAGTATTATTTCTTCTTAAGTGGTTTTACAGGTCGTTTATCTTAGATTTATGAGTATCAACCTACTTTAGAAGGTATTAGACAGCTTTAACGTTTGACACGTATTCTCTAAATCATTTACAGTGCTCTCCATTTGCACTAGACGATTGGTAATCTTCTCAATATTAGGTTTTATTGACAATGCACCATACAGAGTCCTTATTATATGGTAATGATTTAAGATAGGTGCAGGATTGGGAACTAATAAATCCAAAAGCTCATTTTTGATTGTTGACACAGAGCTGAGGAATAATGTGCATCTGTCTAAATCACTCTGTTTCTCAATACCATCACACACACGCGTGTTTAACCTGCTCAGAACACAATGTGCAAACAGACCCCAATTCTTGCTTTGAGCCCGATGGATTCATGCTTCAAACTCTGTTTATACTCAGAGAAGACCCCCAGCAGAAGTGAGGCTCCCCATGGTGTGGCAGCCACCTTTCAGCATGTGGGAGTAGTGGGGCTGATCCCAGCTGTCCTGGCTCCTGCCCAGCTCCCTCAGCTCCTCACTGGCTGCTGCTGCCCCAGCACACCTGAGTAATGGTAAATATGCCTACTGAGATCAAGAAGCATTTTGTCTGAGTAGGGAGTTAATAAAACTGAGATCACGGGCTTAAAAATCATCCTCATAATTTATATTTGGGAGACAGTACTGAAAGCTGACATGTATAACAAAGACATACCTTCACGTAGCCCTACATAATAATAATTTCACAGAAATATTGGCATTGATAGTAACAGAATTCACTTGGATAATTGATCCCCCTACTTCAATAGAAGATCAGCCCCCATATCTATATTACTCACAGAAAATTAGAGTGGAAGATAAAAAAAATTGAAGTGAGAGGCTTTGGTAGCAAATGAACATATTTCCACTGAGTTGTACAGAATTAAAGTCTCATCTGCAACCCTGTCATCCAAAGGTATGCCTTTGAAATGCAGTCAGGAGATCTGTATCAGTCCTGCTTTTGTAGTATGTCACTGAAAATGGTTTCTGGGGCATCGGAACTGCATGATCCAGCAATTTGTTAAGTTGAAATGTGACATTTCAAAAGGAGGCTGGAATGGTCTCAGAGCAAAACCAACACAAAAATCTGCATCCCTCTTTTATCTAGACAGATGACAGGTAAGAAAACTCTAATGAAAAACTGGGGTTAGTGACAAAACTGCCCTGTGACAGTTGCATACCAAAACTGCCAACGGCAGCGAAGCACAGCAAAGGGGTGTCTTCCTCTCACCTTGTTCTTTCAGAAAACACCCCAAAATCCTCACTCAGGCTGGAGGCCTCTCAGGCTCTCTCTGCTGTTTACAAATGAGTCAGTAACAGAGGAAGTGCTGCTACTAAACACTGAGCCCCCCAAGCTCTAATCAATGTAAAACACCTCATTTGAAGCAAAGCATTGCTGTTACCTTGTCTTACTTTGGCGAGAACAGGCACAGATTTACTAGAAAAATAAGGAGAAAAGAAAAATAAACCAAAACCAATATCCTCCCAAATCAGGGCTCCCTAGGGCCATACACATACTTCTGCCATCATCATAAGGGAGCATGTGCAGTCTCCCCACCTACCCATTAGCAGGCAATTTTCTAACACTTTGTCAAACAGCAGAATTATCACAAGTTTCATTTTCCTTACCAGCGGAGCTAACTGCATTCTGAAATGTGCTATCTACATATTTTTAAGCTTGTTTCATTCACTCTGTTCCTAAATCAGCAAAATTTAGCAATCTTCAACAACTCCCTGCCATGAGTGAAATTTCTTTTACTACTGGAAAGGAGGGAGAAGGTCAAGAAGGCTTGGGAAAATTTGTTAGCATGATCTGTAATATAAATTTGGCAGTAAAGAAATTGAGAACATTTCTTTGGAAAACAATCAAAGGGCAAAGTTTCCTCTCAGAGCTGCGTGGTAATTCACGACTTACATGCTCCAAGGAAACTTGCTGCTCTGATGATTAGAATAGCAAACTATTTGCTGTCTGCCTGACAGACCATAGATGGTCATTTTTCCTCCATTTGTCAGTATCTTTCTGTCCAGGCAGGGCAACTTTGTGTGTCCCTTGACACACAGATGAACACTGAATGATGCATCTCTGCTCAGGAGGATTAATCCAAGTTAGATATGGCACAAAAAGAAGTGACAAACAGTAACAGGGCATAAATGCTGGCTGAGTCTTGTAGAGACTGACAGATGCTTTCTCTTACCTGGGTCTCTGCTGCTCCTGCTGTACATGAAAAGTCAGTGTCTTCCTGGTTATCCACTCTCAGGACATACAAGCCACCAACACAGCTGAGGATCTTGAAAGCCACTAAGCTGAGGAAATTTGAGCCATCGGTATCCTCTGCAGCTGGGGCTCACCAACAACACAAAAATGACAGTGAGAACTTATTGCCATTGAATAGTATGGTGGGCAGGAGCACAGCTGAGGTCAAAAAAAGACTGGACAAACTCCTTCCATTTCAACCCATGGGTGCATACTGTGGCTCCACAAGTTTCTAAAGCACCAGTCCATGCCAGGGGTATGCCCTTAGGATGCCCTGTTCCTATGCTCTTTGCTATGCATCTCCCACAGCCAATGCCAAAGGCAGCAGCTTGGGATACTTGGATCCTGCTCTACCCAGATAAGACATTTTATATGCTACAATCAATACAATCATAAAAATAGACAAGAAAATTGTCTTGGCTGAAATTTAAAACATGTAAGATTCAAATGTCAAGGAAATGTTGTATGAAAGATCTTCAGAAATGGCTGGAAAGAGAGAAATTAAAATTTGAGATATTCATGTAGACTGACCTCAGTGAAGGGAGACAAAATCCTGATGCCACCTTTGCAGTCACCAGAGGAACAGGCTCACCTTAAAAGTGCTGAAAACAACCTCCAGAGGCTCCCACCATGAATGACCACGCACATCAGCATCCTGAAGTGATACAGCTCCACCAGCCTTTCTCCAGGAACACACAAGTACCATGCTTATTTAGAACAACTTTTTTGGACCATTCTTCCTCACAGCCTCCTGATGTAAAGGCTACAGGTCTTTCCACTTGTTCCCTCTACCCTGTGTGAGTGGGGTGCTTGTAGCAACTCACCTTTTCCTTTTCTGTTCTTTGAGACAGCTGCAGAAACATTCAAAAACACATTAAAAATAAACACAAATCCATCAGGCCTAGTGAATGAAGAATTGTGCATGAACAAACCTCCTGTTTAGTGCACCCTCTGTTGAGTCAAGGACAGCACAAGCTTTAGAGTAGCACTATTGCATTTAAAGCAGTTCACTGTGTAAAATGTCAGGTTGTTTCTACTCTGGAAATATTTTACATTCCGTTCTTTCTGCAGCATTACTAATCCCATGTCCTCTTTAAGGCTCTGCATCTGAATGGGACTCGCAATTACATGAGTCACTGCAACTATCCTTTGAAATTTTTTTTTTGCTACATGTGATCTGAATCCACAATTGCTGGAGCCCAAAGCTTGCTCTGCACACTCAAAGTGCCACAACAAAATGGGCTGAAATGCTCATTCCAAACATTCGGTTTGGAGCTGCTCGTGGCAAGCAGTGCAGTGTTTTGTCACTGCTGTCACTTCCTTGTGAAGGATGGTGGAGAAGCAGAGGGCATTTCACCTTGAACACAGCCCTCCCCAGACTGCCAGGTGACAGAATTTGGTGGTTCTCTCTTCTACACCCTTCTGGGTCAGCCCAGGACCAAACCTGTACTCCAGAGGCTTTTCAGGTAGGTATAACACGCCCACCTGGATGAATTTGTGTGAGTGGTCAGCTGGATCATGTGCTGAAGAGCCTGACTGAAACAGGCCAGTGCTGACTTTGCCCATGTTTTGTGGTCAGGTTGGCAGTGTAGGTTATTGAAGAAAATGTCTTATTCTCACTTATGAAAAACTGAATTTGAAGCCTACGCACAGTGGCTTTTCTAGGAAAACAATTTTTCTAGGAATGCCAGTTACAATTTTAGGAAAGAAACAGTGTGGCAATTTTCAAATTCAAATCAAAATTCGGTGCAAAAGAAGAGAAGAAAAGCTTGAAAAGAAAAGGTCATGATAAAATACTATAAAACAGGTAAAAAACTGTCTTCTCTTTTTGTCTCCTCTCCCATCACTTTCAAGCCAGCTTCTTACTAGAAAAGCTGCTTTCCATCTAAACTTCCATCACACTGACAGTGTAATGCAGAAAAGCACTGCCTGAAAATAGAGCTTTTCTTTCACAGAGGATAATTACTAGTTGTGCACTGTCTCATTATAAAATGCTAGTACAGACCAAGATTTTGCCATGAAGATGCTAAAAAACATCAATATTATACCTTATATAGGAGAAACTATATTGTTTCATTTGTCCTCTGCCCCTGAAAAACCACCACTTCTCTGGAAGACAAGGTAGAACACAACATCTCTTCATTTCTACAAGATCTATCTGCTTTAAATTGAGAGCTCTGTAGGGCGGGAATCTGTTAAGAACTATGGTATGTATGTGCATTGTAAAGAACTTTGTTAGAACAACAGTGTGGCAAAAAACCCCCAAAAAACTCAAAGATAGTAATACCAAAGCCTCAAGTGTAGGTCCAAGGAATGACAGCATAATTATTTTTAGAGATGACTACAGCAGTAACTCAACATGACATGAGAGACTGGAGAAACAGCAAGCTTGATTTAAACCAATGGGAAAGCCAGGAATACAGAATGGAGACTGTTCCTAATGCACCATATTGCATCTGAACATTTTGTTCTTACCCATCTATCCAAAGCATGATGTTTTGCATTTCATATTAACATTCTGAAGACATTAAAGAATTCTTCGATTCGATGTTCATATGCTGTGTCAGAACTCACACTCTGACTGCTTAGAGAGATGCTATGTCTACCTTTTACTCATCTTCCCTCCCTCAGGCTCCTAACCATCCCTCCTTCCCACTCCCAAAAAATCCCAGGGTCTGCTATTCTTTATTGGGAGCATTATTTAGTTGAGCAGAAAGTTGGTTACAAAAACGGTTTGTGGGATTTGGACTTCACTCTGGATTTCTGCACTACCTCAGCTGTTATGCATATGTACTAAGATTGACTGCTAACAAATCATCACAGTAATACTTGAGGTTCATATACTATTTTTCATCTTCAAAGCACTTTAAAATTTCCCAGAGGTTCGACAAAATCTGGGAGAGGGAGAAAAAGCTATGGGCAAAAGTCTTTGTTTAGCATTGGTCTTAATATAAACCATAGTTAGTCCCTTTCTGTTTAGCACTACAGCAGGAATGTTGCAGCCCTCAGAATTAGGTCTGAAGTGCTAAACAATGCTAAATTGCCAATAACACATTTTCACTAAAAAGTATTTTAAATACTCTTTGTCATATGGACAGCTCTCTTCAAAAGTTCTGTTCTCACCTTTGAGTTCAAAACTAGGGAAATGGTGACATTAGCATAATGTCTTGGGAGATGGATTTATGTATCAAAATAAAGGACATTCTGATTTCAGAAAGTTTTGTTAACAAAAAAAATCATATTTCATAGGAATAAAACAACAAAGAACATAACCAGGAATCAAAATTTTTTTAAAGGCAAAACTAATAATGCTTCAATAATTCCTTCATTGTTCAAAGCAGAACAGTCAGTTTTTAACAGCTGAATGGAAGCTCTCACTAGTTTTCTGGCCAGCACTGGAAACAGCAATCAAGGGAACTTGGAAGTGAATCATTACAGGCCTTACTTCTCCTTATCACATACCAGGGGAAGAATTTTCCTCAGTGCATGAGACCAAGCAAAATGCTCTGTGCCTTCAACCAGTGAACCACTGGTTTGCAGGAGCTCTGTGCCCACACTGGGCACGCACTCTGCAGAGCACACCCAGGCTCCTGGTGCCCAGGCACAGCTCCTGGGTGTTGTCTTCAGCTGTGGGACCACATCCCGCTGGGCACATGGGAATGACCCTTCCAGCTGCACGCTCAGCCCTGTGCCCACCACCCTTGAAAGTCAGGCAGCATCAAATCAGACCTTTTAGGAGAACTGCTACAAGCTGTTTTCTTCTTTGGACTGGCTGAATCAGGCTTGCAAATTTTTTTCATTTACCACCACCAAAAATGAGGATGAAACTAAACAAAATCTAACTTTCTACTTAGTGGTCAATAAATATGAAAATGCAATGAATAAAATACTCTGTTTCTCATGTATTCCACTAAACATGAAATCCAATCCAGCCTTTATGCTTCAAAGCATGACTTGTATTTCACGTGCTTTCTAGGGCACAGAGTTCTGTGACACAACAAATACAGACTGCAAGTTTGAAACATAGATGTTCAACTGGTTCTTCTGAGGTCATTTATTTGTTTGGATTCCTTTTGAGCCTGAAACATTTCTATAATGTCTGACAAAATATGGAAACATTCTCAGATGAAAGGATACATGCATTCCAGAAAATAATCCACTGAAATCTAAAGAACCTCTTCTTGGAATACTTAAGTGCAAACTCTTCAGTTATGCAATTTTAATATGGTGGAAAGAAAGAAGTGTAAACTATTACATTTTTTTTTAAAGCTTAGGAAGCAAATTAAAACAAAATAACATACATATTATTAATGAACAGCTACAGTGCAAGGTGCGTAATTACACGTTAATTAAATTCTCCCCTTATTATAGATACAGTGCCTCAAAATAAATGTTTTCCCTCTATGTATTTTCCTTGTAGCAACATTTCCTGAAAAAAACCCATAGGTGTAAAGCAGAAACTTTTAAGTATTTCACAACTGGGAGAATAAAACTGCACCTTTTTTTTTTTTTTTTTAAGTTAGAATTTAGAACTGTATTCAGAAATAAACTGAACTTCAACGTGTTTTAATTACCTGCCCTTCTGTTTATAATCTTCAACTTAAGTCTAAACTAAACAACAACGCTGGCAGAACACCATAAATTTGAGGAACTGGGATGAAATACTTCAAAGTAAATGTTAACAGAACCATTTTCCTCTATACAAAAATAATTTGATTCAGGTACTGAGCCAGCCTTTGTATGTGCCATCCCCTACTGCCCAATTCCTACAAAACCCATCATCACCTTTCTTATCTGGCTATTTAGGACTTTTCAATTTTTCTCTTCATCAAGTCTAAGCTTCTTCCTGCATTTGCAGCTTTTCTTTTAAGTCTGCCTGTAAAGCAAATCAGAAGAAAGCAGAGGTTATGATGGAGCTATCTTAGGGTGCACATTGTCTTTGTGGTCTTGACACAGAGTGGAGCAGCAAGGCAGTCATTATCCTCCACACCTTCCTGTTTTGCAGACAGACCGGTGTTGCCGCCTGTCCTTAGGCGATAGCGTGTTATCACATTGCCCTTCACGATTCCAATGGATGGCACGGCTGCCATGAGCAGGAAGGGATCTGGGACAGCCATTCCTCACCTAACCTTGTCTTGGACATAGGCTAATTTTCCTCTATTCCCAGACAGCCTTTACCAATAGACACCACATCAGAAAAATTGCTTTGGGACCTGGTTGTTCCTACTGTTTGCCTTTGCTGCAGATGCTTGCTCTCTAGTGTAATGTGTTTTATTGAAACAGTGCTGGAATTAAAAAGCATTACTGAAAATGAACAATAAAAAACCATATTTCTGTGATGCTGCTTGTCTGTCTTAATTACAAACACAATTATGAATATGCATCTTATTCTGGAAATCCAAACTGCTGTAGACATTGAGTGTTTAATTTGCAATGTAACATTTGTGGGGAAGGTACAGGGGTTGTGATGTATTCTAATGAAATCTTTGGCAGTGATAATGCATAGCAATCTCTGATTGTAGAGCACTTGGAAATGTGGGATCACTGGAAAAAGGGGCCACAAAAACTGGTGTTTTATGGGTAACTTGTATATTTTTCAGTATGAGAATTGCTCACTGCAAAAATACAACAGACATGGAAAGAGTGCAATGACAGTATTTCTAAGAGTCATAAAGTTTTGTTCAAACAACTGGGACAGGTTAACAGGTCTTTTACAGACTCTACATAAACTATTCCAAAACTCAGAGTTACACCCTTAATGGAATTTAGGTAATTTTGATAAAGCAAATGGATTTGTACCAGAAGCACTTGCAGTTATTTGACATTTCAGGAACTTCACGGCTTGCCAGTCCTAGAAATCCCTGTTAGTGCTATTCTGCAATATATTAATGGGTAACCACAGCTGAAATGTTTTCAAAGTTCTCAGTAGCTCAGATTAGAACCAAAAGGCTGGAATTTCTCTCTCAATTTTTAATCTGTGGAAATGGTCTTCACCATATTCAATTCAAGAATCAACAAAAATGTCTTCATCCCTTTATGTGATGTGTACACCTGGTTGCTGGAACAATGATCCTCTAGGTTAATCAACTCTCAGCCACTCCAGATGCCTTTTCTTCTGCAGTTTTTACACACCTCTGGCTCTGGTCCTACCTCCACTGAAAATCATCTGCCACCACACTTTGCTATGGCTGCTGCTGAGACCACTGAGTGTCAGCACTGTGATACCAGACTAAAAGTTATTTTCTTGACTCAATTAGAGCAACAGTTGCCTTGTTAATGCATATATTGAGACATAATGAAGATTGTGAAACTATATTTCACACATAACAAAAAATGGTATGAGTTTGATCATGAATCAGGTAAAAATCTAATTATAAGACTTCTTTGGAGGTCAAGAAACTGAGAAAACAGGCAAAAATGATACACTGGTGAAAGAATTAAAACCTGAGGGGAAATTATTTTCTTTGTATACAACCAGAGTTGCAAACAAACAAACAAACAAAAAAAAAAGAATAAAAGAAAGCATTTTTCTCATCTGTGCAGCCTTGTAAAGAAAAAACCAAAAAACCTCCTGGCACTGATGTTAATGGCATGAAGGTCAAGTGAAAACCAGATATTTACTCTTTTCTATTGATAGGGACAGGAATGAGATAACACAGGTCAGAGATTCTCTCTCATTTCTAAAGACATGTTGAAATAGAATATGATCTCAAATAGGTTCATCTAATGATCTAATCTAGTCTAATTAATATAATAATTCATACAATAATTCTAATTCATATTTCCCACTGATGCATAGTACAAGCAAAGCAATTTACCAATACCATAGTATTTTCAGATAATATTAGGTATTTATTAAACTGCTGCTTAGTCAATAGTGTCTAATGTGCTGTATCTGAAGTTCAAAGTGCCCAATGCCACCTGGTTGTTGCCAGTAAGACCAAATTCCAGCAGCTCCTTGGTGCAAATCTGTTCTAGCAAATCTATTCTTTGGCTTTCAATCATTTCCTGTTAATTCCAGTGACTGCAGCTTCCTTCTCTTCCATGAACCTCACAGAAAGAAATCATAGACCCCTCAGAGTCTGAAGACCACATACTGACAGCTGATCTGTTTCATTAAGGCAGCTCTTGTGTAGTCACACACCTACCAGACAAAGCCTAAAATTGGCATAAGTGAGTCATTTCTTACACAAATTGAGGGATGTGTGACATAGATGCATCTAACAATTTATATTAAGCACACATTGCATATACTCCAGCACAGCAGCTGGTCCTGAACCCTTAAGAAGGAATTTTATCACTGACATCACTGAGAGCAGGATTTGGCCTGTGTTTTTGACACATAGTAAGGCTGAAGATATATGTTGTCATATTACTGAGTATTTTTTATCTTATCATATGTAAGCTGACTAAACTAGGAGTTATTTATAGAGGCTAATTCACATTTTTACAGCATATGGATGTGCTTTTTGCCAGCTTTAGCACAAACACAGTTTATATTCATTAAGACTGAGCTAGCTAATTAACCATAGACAGAATTAGTGAATAGCTTTCTAGTAATAGTACCTCAAGGTTGCCAATAATTTCATTTGGGATTTCACACACTGCAGACTTCTCCTCTTCAGCGGTGACTCCAGCCACAGCCTCGGAAGATTCTGCCCCTGGACAGGGCTCTTGCACGCAATCCCCCTGGTCAGTCCCCTAGCAGCAACCAGCCAGAGGAAACACTGAGTTAGAACATCCTCCTGCCCTCTCTGAGACCCAGCAGCACCAGCACAAAGAGAGGCAACAATACAGAGCTGCTTTTGGGAAGCACTGCCTTGACAGAGACCATCGTGGCTGTCTCACACTGCCCAGGCCAGGCAGACACATCCTCCCACAGGGTGAGAGCCCAGATGGGCCCACTCAAATAAATGTTCTCTGCTGACTGATTATTGCATTAAATGTCTTTTCATTCAAACTTAGAAGAGAATGCATGCTATATTCTAGAGAATAAATGCCATCAGTGACTGGGATCCAATGGAAATGCATATAAAAACAGCTTAAACACCCCCCCCAGCAAACTAAAAGGAACAAAACTGTACCTGAGATTCTGTTGCTGAAGCTGAGGGGGAAAGTGCAGGTTGGTCAAGTTCAACCTCATCCTGGTAGTATTAAATAGAAAAAAAAAAAGAAAAAAGAAGAAAGTAATTTATGTTTAATTATTGCTCAGAGGTTTCTTGCAGTTTTTTTTAATGGAAATGAAATGGTTGGCAAACAGCAAAAAACAATACCTTTTCTGTTACTATCCAGGTGCTCAGAACTGGAAAGCATTTTGAAAATGATTATAGATCAGCTTTAATTTCTAGTTGCATCTCAAGGGGCCCTCTTTATAATGCTTGGAAAGAACAGATGATTTTCATAATTTCATAACACTACAGCTTCTTACTCATGTGGATAATTACGTTTAGAAAACACAGTGCTTAGGTAACATTCTGTCTTCCCACTGCAAATTTGTCACTTCTGAATGGGGACACTGTTGCAGTTTGGAATTGCAGGGGAGTATCAAAGGAGTCAGTTGGAGTGAAGTCGCAGTGACACAAAATCAAATACGGCCCTAAGGAAACTATTTTAATATGTAACTATAATTTAAGAGTTGCTAATGGCCCAAGTTTTGCTGCTTCTTCTTGTTCCTTTGCTGTGACCGTGGGAACCTCACTGCAGAGAGGGGGACCATGGGACCTGCGGCTCCAGGAATGCTCTGACAAGGGCATGGCTTTTCCCACCTGGAGCAGCTGGATGAAACACCAAGTCCACGCTCAGGTTCTCAGGAGTGACGCACAAGGCAGCCCTGTGTCCTCTAAAGGAAGAAGGTTTTGCGTCCTACTTGAAAAAAATGGATGGCAAAAACATATGTGCCAAATAGGGCGAAAAAAGGCATTTGTGGCCAAGCAAGGAGCAGGGTACAGCACTGAAATGGTGTGTCTGGGGCCTCTGCAGGGGAAGTGCCCATCGAGAATACGAGGCAGATGTTCCAGTTCTGAGTCAGCGATTATAAACACGATTTTGCTTGGATGGTGTAAGTAAACGACATTAATTCACATCAGGGTAATTGCAATTCCCATAAATTAATTTCCTCATACTTTTGAAATTCTAGCTAGGTTGATATTTGGGTCATTTAGTTACTTGCTGCAGTTAACAAGCTGAAAATATTACAGCTTCTGCACATCTGCAGAAGTGATAGCAACAACTGAAAATACAAAGTTAGACCTAGGACCTCATTACAATAAAATCTCTTTTGTAGTCCTAAAAGCATTTCAGAACTTCTGTTTGGACTCTGTCACTACCACCAAGGTTCCCTGTTATGTGTGAGCTCAGTAAAATAGGTAGATAGCATTAGCCCATGTTTATAAGAACCTAACAGGCTGACAGAAAGATTTGCAGATTATAACCGAGGAGAAAAACAGAGTTATAGAAGCATTTTCTTTTATCACTGTAATTCAAATTTTCAGCACTTTGTCAATGCCTACATACTCACAAAAGAAATAGTCAGAAAGTTTGTGCTTGGAATCAAAATGAAAAAACTGACTCAAACTGTATTTCTTTCAAAAACAAAGACACATTGTATTCAAATTCTAGTTTTTAAAAAAATAGAGCTTTTTTAATTTAGCAACTCTCTTAATTTTCTTCCCTTATATTCTCTTATTAAAAATATTAGCTGAAGTGGATGACAATTCAAAATTACTTTCTGCTTCCTTAAAATAATATTTTTTGCTTAGTAACCTATTCACTAAAAATATATTTTTTATTTAGATTATCATTCCATTTATTTTCTCCAGTCCAAATTAAAAAAAAAAGTCAAATTATGTAATAAAAATAGACATGTTTTTAGAATCAATTCCAAGCCAATCAAATACACTTTTGCTGCATGGACAAGATTTTTTAGAGGTTCTGTTTTTCTGAATAATATTTTTACTTCACTGCGTCTTTTTACAGAGAGCCATTCTTTACTCATCTGTTCCATGTCTAATAATAACCCTTGGATCATTAAGAAATAACTAAATTACAGCAGAACTAGTCTCTTTAATGAGCCATAATAGTCCCAACAGTCAGCCAAAAGTTTTTTTAAAGACTGTGAAACTTCAATGTAGAATATGAAGCTTTTTGTTTAGTAATAACAAGTTTATGAGCAGGACTACAGTTTACAGCCAAAATATAGTGACCTAAAAATGCCATTCTGCATTGCTCCCTTCTATACATTGTGTCCTTAACAAGTCCAGGGGAAAATTAGAACGAATGAATTGTGGTGAGAGCCCGAAGCCAACAAACGTATTTAAATGAATCCTTCTGATGCAATACTTTCCTTTAAAAAATACAATTAAGTCTTTGTGTTTCCTTTGAACAAAACCTCATGTTTAATAGCACCAATGGCTCTGTAGTAAAATCTATTTAAAAACAGAGAAGGAGACACAGTAAGTTTTATACAGTTACAAAGGGTTTAAAAAAACGTTGCTAGTTTCTGAAGACTGAGTAAATTTATGGTGAATTACTTCCACTGACCTACATTAAAAACTCCACTCTCCTTTTTTTAATTCCTGAAGATTTGTCATTATGTGAGCATTATTCACTATGACAAAGATGTATTACTCAAAGTGTCCTCTTGAATCAATATAACTATCGAAATGTGAGGAACAGTTTGGCAAGATGATAATGCCTTAAAAATTAATTGGCAATATTTTCCTGCACACTGCGGTCCAGCGGGTCCACGGGAATTCAAACATCAAGACATTGTGAGGCAGTTGCACAAATGTAGCTGGCATATCAGTGTCAGCTGCTCTGAAAGAGACTGAAGGGACAATTAGGTGCACTATTCTTACCAGTTCTGAGGTGAGCTGGGGTGCCAGGAGGCCGCTGGGCTGGGGAAGTCAGCACAGCTTGACACGGGGTGATGGGTCAGCAGCACCTCCCCAGCCCAGGGGCACCAGCCTGGCTGAGAGCAGACACTGCTCTCAGAGCACAGCCTGTGCCACAGCCCTGCTCTGCAATTCTTACTGCTACAAGTCTGCATAAAGACAGGTTTGTACAAAAAGAACTGTGTTGTTCTGTACATAAACTCATACACTTTTCTTGTTGTTGAGAGGTAACAAATTGCCTTTTTACAAATGTAGGCAGAGAAAAGACAGTAAAATAGTACAGAGGGAAATTTCTACAACAGAATAATAACAGGAAAGAAGATTGGTAAAGCGTTCTAATAGATGAGTTCCACAGATGTGGTAGTTATAATAAAATTAGCTTTGCATAACTTACCAATATACCATTGAATTTTCTCCCTGATGTTATCTCTTACTTAAATTAATTTTTCTTAAGTTACTATTATTGCAGATTTTATCCATTCTGTATTTTATTATTTAAAGTTTCTGTGGCATATAACAAGCCCTGGCTGATAGTGTTACTTTTAATAATAGATATAAGAGGTTTTAGTATTATAGAAATGGCTGCTGGGAATATCTTAATAGTCATAGCACAGAATGTCTGCTCTCAAAATATTATGTAGATTAAAACTAGCTATTTACTTACACTCTAATTCAAGGCATTGAAAAGGTTTGCAGTATTTATGTATGTGGTATGAAGGGGAACAATCTACTCCAGGAATAAATATCAGAGTTTGGGAATTAGCAAAGCTAAGGTCAAGGTCAGTTTGGCTTTACTAACATGCTTACTGAAAAAGAGAATTCAGAGTTTATGTTTACTTATTTCATAAACGAGAAAAAAGACTGAGGGGGTAATGCATTTGCCTCTTTGATAGAAAGCTTTTCTACCACAAATATTTTAAAACCACCTTCTCAGCTTGATATTACCTGAAATTCTGTACTCCTTTCTACACAGTCTTAACATAAATTCTCTGCAGCTAAACTTACCAAACACAGGAAAATAATTATTTATAAGGATTGGAAAAAAGATCTCACATTCAACATGGACCATTTCTAAAGCCTCATAACATCTTTCCAAGCCTTTCAATGGATAGAGGTTTGATTTATATGAAGGGCAGATGAATTTCAAAAAGGGAGTTCTTTGTGCATTATTCTTTATATTCATATCACCTGGGCAGTTTTTACTTGTATGCCATGGGACCTTATCCTACCAGAGGCCTGCACAGATTTCTCTCATATATATGTGAGCTTTGCTATGAAACAGACTCTGTAATACAGAGGATTTACAGGATTTACATTAGTTTGCTATTCATGCTAAACATGGTTGGCCCCACACCTACAAATGTGCTGAATTTCAGCTCCTGCAATAAGAGGCACTTACAAGAGGCAGTTTGTTGGATGCCTGTATTTCATGTGGTTGAATTTGAATGAATACCTAATGGACAGAGATGCACTGACTCAAACCAGCCTGCTTTTTTTAATCCCTCCCCTTTTACCTGCCAGCATATGCAAACACAACAAATCCACCCCACCTGCCTGCGGAGGCATCGCCCACGAGCGTTCCCACAGGAGGTTCCTGGGAGCTGCTGATAGCTCTACAAACACATCTGCCATCCTCTTCTGCAGCAACTCAGTACATGAGGTGCAAAGGACCAAAGGATTTTAAAAAGCACTCAAAAACTTATTCCAGATACCTGATCTCTGTGGTGTGACTGAGGTGGCAGAGCTTCCTCCTGCACACCCTCACTACACACATTTGTATTAATATTAAAAGTAGAATTAAGATCAATGAGGGCCTAAAACTCTGCCTCTGAAGGATGTCCCTGGCTGCTAATGATGCACATGGAAATTCTGTGTGCGTGTTCCTGGGCAGGAGTTTTCAAACCACTATTCCTAAAAGAAACAGAGGTTCAGTGAGTCCAAGGTAGGCTTTATGCTCTTATTCCTGCATTTCAAAAATCCAAGTCAATATGTTCTAAAAGAGTTTTCCATGTTTCTGATCTGTGATGTGAATCGACTTTGCTGACAATACATTAGTAAAGAATCTAGTCTAAAATAGCTATTTGAAGCAATTTGGTGCCTACATTGACAAAACAGGATCTCCTCCTCCCCCCAGGAAGCTGTAAATCAGTCAGTGACATCTGGCCTCAAGGACATCAGAGTCATCTGAAATGTGGTAATTTATATTAATGAACATCAATATTAATTTTTAAATAAAAAGAATTTGCTACTGC